TCCCTATTATCCGTGAATATTCCAACTGAGCCACTGGTTGACCTTTGTTGACTTCCAAATTTATACTGAGATCAAGGGGTGTCTTACACCTAGACTGTGCACCGTCATAGGTATCAAATTTCTTGAGCACTTTCTCTACATAATGAGATTGTGACAAGACAATTCCATCTTGGGTTCTGATAATTCTTATTCCAAGAATAACATCAGCCAAACCCATATCTTTCATGTCGAAATTTCTTTTCAACATTCTTTTTGTATCCATGATCACTTCATGGCTACTCCCCATGATCAACATATCGTCTACATATAGACATACAATCACAAATGTATTTGATGTACCCTTGACATAAACACATTTATCACATTCGTTGATTTTGAAATTATTTGTCAACATCACGTCATCAAATTTCAAATGCCATTGTTTCGGAGCTTGTTTCAGTCCGTACAAGGATTTGATCAATCTACACACCTTTCTCTCTTGTCCAGGTGCAACAAACCCTTCAGGTTGTTCCATGTATATTTCTTCTTCCAATTCACCATTCAAAAATGCCGTCTTGACATCCATTTGGTGAATCTCAAGATTGTGCAAAGCAGCAATCGAGAGAAGCACTCTTATCGACGCTAAACGCGTAACAGGTGAATAGGTATCAAAGAAATCATACCCTTCCTTTTGTTTAAAGCCTTTGACCACCAAACGTGCTTTAAACTTATCAATCGATCCATCAGCTTTATATTTTTTCTTTAGGATCCATTTGCATCCTAAAGGTTTACAACCATCAGGGAGATCAACCAACTCCCAAGTATGATTTTGCATAATGGACTCAATTTCGCTATTTACAGCTTCTTCCCAGAGTGGTCCATCTGGGCTGGACAGAGCTTCCTTAAGGGAACTCGGTTCATCGTCCAACATGTACGTAATAAAATCAGGTCCAAACGTTTTAGCCGTTTTTACCCTTTTACTACGTCTCGGTTCTTCATTAGTACCCTCTGGTACAGAACCACTAGCAGTTTCATACGTTCTTTTATTAGAACTAGATTCTGCCCTTTCCTTCATAGGAAAAACATTCTCAAAGAATATAGCATTCCTTGACTCAATCGTGGTACCAACAGATACCTCTGGATTTTCTGATTTATGAACCAGAAATCTATATGCTGTACTATTGTACGTATATCCAATAAATACACAATCGACCGTCTTTGGCCCGATTCTCATTTGTTTTGGTTCAGGTACTGAAACCTTAGCCAAACACCCCCACACTTTCAGGTATTTATAAGACGGCTAAGGAGTCTCATCTTTCCCTTTAGGTGGTATTTTATTCTGGATATGATTTGCTGTCAAAACAGCTTCCCCCCACATGTTCTGTGGTAATCCTGAATTAATCAACATGGCATTCATCATTTCTTTTAACGTACGGTTCTTGCGTTCAGCAACACCGTTTGACTGTGGAGAATAAGGGGCTGTCGTTTGATGAATTATGCCACATTCAGAACATATTTGTTCAAAAGGAGCTACATATTCTCCACCCCTATCACTTCGGATTATTTTAATCCTTTTGCCGAGTTGATTTTCAACTTCGGTCTTATATATCTTAAATGCTTCCACAGCCTCATCTTTGCTTCTTAACAAATATAAGTAGCAAAACCTTGTGCAATCATCGATAAAAGTTACAAAATACTTTTTACCGGTTCTTGTTTGCACACTTTTCATATCACATACATCAGTATGGATCAAGCCTAATGGTTCAGTACTCCTTTCCACCGAGTGAAAAGGCAACTTAGCCATTTTTGCTTCAATACAAATTTCACATTTTGTATTTTTATCAACTTTAGAATTAGGAATTAATTCTAATTTCATCAACCGTTTTATTGCATTTAGATTTACATGTCCCAATCTAATATGCCATACATCAGAGCACTCAACGGTATAAACAGAAATAGGCTTTTTATTATCAACGGTTACACGGCTTACAGCCATTACATTCATTTTGAACAATCCCTTGTCGATATAACCACGACCAAGGAATTTTCCATATTTGCTAAGAATAAACTTCTTATCTTCAAATACAAGCCTAAATCCATGCTCAACAAGAAGTGATCCCGAGACCAAATTCTTGCGGATGTCTGGGACATGCAGAACATCCTTCAGTTTCAACTCCCTTCCAGAAGTGAGCTTTAGCACCACCGTGCCCACTCCAGCCACATCAGACGTGGAGGAGTTTCCCATGTGAAGTTTCCGACCCGTAGCAGGAGTGTATTCAGAGAACACCTCCTTGTCGGAACACACATGACGAGTGGCACCAGTATCTATGTACCACTCCCTCGGGTTATCCACCAAATTGGCTTCAAACACCACTGCTGACATATCAAAGTCGGTCAATTCACCCAGCACAAGGCCGTGTTCAGCAACAAGGGCACTCGATTGCCTTTTATTTGGCCCAACTTTCTTTGGCCTCTTGCAGTCTTTCGCCATATGGTTTGGCTTTCCACAGTTGTAACAAGATCCAGTGAATTTCCAAACCTTGGCGGGCTGCTTCCCTTTGTTAAGGGGCTTCCTTTTGCTCGAATTTCCTTGCTCCAACAAGTTTGCACGAGCCTCCATTATCGGGCTTTTGCCCGACGAATTACGGTTGTCCTCCTCAATACGAAGACGAACAACCAGGTCTTCAAGACTCATCTCTTTTCTCTTGTGTTTGAGATAGTTCTTGAAATCCTTCCAGCCTGGCGACAGCTTCTCGATCACAGCCGCTACTTGGAATGACTCACTCAAAGTCATCCCTTCAGAATGGATATCGTGCAAGATCAGCTGGAACTCTTGCACTTGTGACACGACGGTCTTCGTGTCAACCATCTTGAAGTCAAGAAATTTGCCGACGACGAATTTCTTCGCCCCGGCATCCTCCGTCTTGTACTTCTTCTCCAGGGCATCCCAAAGCTCTTTGGCAGAACCAACAGAGCTGTACACGTTGTACAACTCGTTACTAAGCCCGTTCAGGACATAGTTTCGGCAAAGGTAGTCACCTTGCCCCCAAGCATCGTACGCAGCGCGTAGTTCTGCATTGGTCTCATTCTCAGAAATGACCGGAGGGTCGTCCTTCAGGTATTTCACCAAACCCAAAGTGGTCTGGTAAAAATGCATCTTTTGTTGCCACCTCTTAAAGTCAAGCCCGTTGAATTTTTCGGGCTTTTCAGTTGTAGGAACGTGGACAGCCGGTACATGATTGATCGGATGCTGAGAGCTGGAACCTGCTCCGGTGGATGCCATCAGTTCAGTAGGATGACTGAATATTCTTCTTGCGATTGTTGGATATTTGGTGTCAAAATTACACGGGAATCCTACGAACTGATATGTATTTTCAGTTCTTACAAATAATCTAAAAATAGAAAATTACAATTGAACTGAAAAATAAATTACAACTGAAAAACGGAAAGATTTTAGCCGAGGCGAGTAAAACTCTTTCCGCAAGAAGAATACGCCCCGTGTGTCAGCTAACGGTTCAGGCGTAACTTCCCCAAAGATACAACGACAAACGTCTCTAAATCTGTAGCACACCAGATTTACGAGCTCCGGCGAACGGGAACAGAGTCGAGAATTGAGCACTTAAAAATAAAAGGAATATTTTAAAACAAATAATAATATCACTTGTTTCTCTCTTTTGATATTTTTATATCCGATATTTGGACATAAATTTATCTTTTCTTTCCTTTCTCTTTTCCTTTCTTTCCTTTCTTTTCCTCTATTTTGTACAATCTGCTTCATCTGCCGAGGAGCTATATTTATAGGGAAGAAAGAGCAGATAAAGCCTGTCCATAATAAAGCCTGGCCACACAACAATTATTAATGCAAGTTGATGCCAGATGAACCTTCACGTGAATGAGCTGCAAATTGACCAAATTATTTGAGTAAATTGTAATGGTGGAACCCACAACTAATAATGAAACTCAATTATTTGTTACATATTCATGTGACATAGGGTCATATCGAAAAGTTACAGGCGGATCTTCTTTGTCGGCAAGAAAATTTTAAAATTCCGCTGCATGTACGCTAGATTCGCATATCAAAGTTCCAATAGTGGTATCAGAGAACCGAGTTGGTATTCATAGTTATTTGATTTTGAATTAGTAGTAGTGCTCCCCTACCCATGATGGACACATGTTAATATGCCCACCGTGAATAGATGAGCATTTCTCTTTGAATTAGATTTACATATATCAAAACTTGTTAATCATGGTTTAGTTTAATTAATAATCAAAATAGTTTTAATGATACTAAACTAAAATTTAAAAAACTTTTGGAATTGTACGTACAAACAATTATGGGGATTGAAACTCTTCTCGCCCGTCACTGATCTCCCGTCCTCGACCTTCACGCCGCTGCTGACTCGTCGCCACTGAGGCTGGCCGCCAGAGCCAGAGTATAGTTTACATATATTGGATCATAAATTAAGGCCAAACCGGTCTGCCGAAAGTATATTAACTTGAAAGAGATTAATTGGTCAACTGCTTAACTGGTTGACTGACTGAGTGGTTGATCTTCCCACCACTTGGCTCGGCGTCTCCACGGTTCAACCCTTTCGACCAGTTCGACAGACTGGTTTAGCTTTGTATGTATAATATCCTATATCATCTCCTCACACAAATTTAAAAATAACTGAGAGGCAGAGTATAGTTTACATAAATTGGATAATTTGAAATCTTTATGTATCCAAATTTCTTTTTTAATTGTCTTCTCCAAATTGATTCATCGACATGGATATACAATTAAATTATGTTGTACCAGTTGGTCATTTAATCATATAGCACACACAGAAAGCACACACCATGACAGCAAAGAATATAGATATGAATACTTCTGAAAAATAATCGTATAAAAAAACAAACTTTTCTAAATTACAGGGAGGCAACAGACTTTGAAAGATCAAAATAAATAAATAAATAAATAATAATAATAATAATTGCATCTTAGGCTAACAGAAGAGCTAAAAAAAGTCCTCTCCAAATTATTACGTATATATACTCTCCTCTCCATCTCCCTTTCTAGGCTTGCGCCTACAATCTTTACAGCGTTTCCCGCTACTTTTCGTCACTCTTACAAAAATGACCTGCACCAGACAGATATACATGTACATCTATATGTTTACACAACATGCGATTCAAGTCTTTGACATGATAATGCAACTCCACAACGAACAATTTTTGCACTTCGTAAACTCTGCCACTAAGAGTTAACCACGTGAAGTCAATTTATTCTGTAGTGCAAAGAGACTCGAGTATTATGCAGACACATTAGAAAATGCAAACATTTCTACAAATGCTAACATTTGCGCATTGCATTTTATAAGCTTTACAGTCATCTGATCTGTATGTCCATACCGGCACAATTAATAGTATTTTAATGTATAGTTATTGATAACTAAAACGAGCTTCCATCACTAAAATTCCAAACTCCCCACCATGACAGCAAGTCAGCAATCCATTCTAATATTTCCTGTTCATTCTAACTATTATTTAACAATAAAAGACAAACTATATCGAGATAAATCAATAACACAACAAATTAAATAATAAATAATATTAATGAATGGTGAAACTGAACAAACTTAGTGAAGCTTTTCAACATACCACCAGCAGGTCTTCCTTGATATTCAAACTGCAGTCTGCGTAGTTACTGCTTTCATTTATCCGCCGAAATTTGAGTTCACAATAGAAGCCCCAAAGTATCACAGATACAGATAATGCATATATTATAACACCAGCAGCTTGCGCATGCATGCATGAATGCTCGGGAACCACTGTACAAAAGCCCACATATAGTCATGAAATCTGCCCTTTAGGTTTGACCTGGTTAAGAAGATTCGAGCACTCTACTGAAATCACAAAATGTACGGAAACGAACAGAGGGCCTTTTGGCATTTTCTTTAACAAATACTACCGTATTGAGAACACGGTATATGAAACATAAATGTCAAGGGGGTAATTGCAATGTTAACAGGATTAGTATATTTCTCTTTCTTTTCGGTATAATTAGACTAAACATCACGAAGACATTTCCTTGAACAACCATTGCCATAATTCACAATGTTGATATGGAAATAATCAAAAAATGAACTTACATGAACTTTGTCCCATAGAGAGCTCTCATATCACTAGGAACTTCAATGTAGTCATCGCGCTACATGGTTCTTATCAGATTTGCCTAAAAACCAACAAACTCAAAATGGGAGCACTTGTGCATCATGACCACAGAAATTCAATTCGAGATAATATGGATTTCATGGTTTCAAGCTGACCAACAGAAAAAGGAGGCCTCTTTGTTAGAGCAAGACTATATATATTTTTAGCCTTATCAATCATGTCATCGCCTCCAGCTGCTTCTCCAGCTTTTCTTAGTCCTCTGAGCAGATTATAAACCGTATGCACACTAGGAAACCAGTTTTTCTGCATACAATCTTTACACATTAAGTAGGCCAAGTCATATTTCCCCTCCATACAAAGATAATGAATCATGGTTTGATAAATTCTCTGGTTTGGCTTATATCCATCATCATGAAAAATCGAATACACCCTCATGGCCTTATCATAGTACCCCACCTGGAAAAACCCCTTAATCACTAGATTATACGTGATCTCATCGGGAAATTCCGGAAACTTCCTATGCCTGCGCATAATGTTCAGCATCTTATTAGCCTCCCAGGCACGCCCCTGGTTGATCAAGAACTGAATCCTAACATTAAAAGTAGCCACATTAGGATGACAGCCTTTTAACAGCATCAAATTCCACAAACCGTTTGCAATTTCCACCCGTCTAGCCTCGTAAAAAGCTGATATTAATGTCGTATACGTGAAAACATCGGGGAATATTCCCAATTTCTCCATCTCAACCATGACCTGAATAGCCTTATCCAGAATACCCATTTCACAGAAGGCCTTGATGACAATATTAATGGAATAAACATCCAATTGGATGCCAAATTTAACAGGTACATCATTCAAGAACAAGCTAATCGCCTTTAAATCCCTCGACTGGGTCAGAACCTTGAGGGTCGCATTGAAAGACTTAACGGTCCTTTTACACCGGTGCAAATGCATGTCGTGGAACGTTTGTACAGCGTGACCTACCATCCCTGTCTTACCATAGAGCATTATAATACGGATTATAAACCCTTCCCGACGGCCCTGTGGCAGGTACTTCTGCTCCTCGAGTAGACTCTCGATGTAATCTAATCTGCCCGCGCCAGATAACCTGGAGACAGTGTCCTCAAAGGCAAACCGGTTCTCAACGACGAGCCTATTGCTAGCATTGGCCCTGAACAAATCGAACAGCCTATCCGGGTCCTTCTCTTTCTTCAGCTTGATCAATGCAGGCTCATCTGTTTTGGCCGGATTTTTCAAACCCTTTGTTGAATTACTAGCAGATGGAGACAACTTACAGGGCGCGGTGCTAAATCTGCGAATCGATCGCAGAGCGAACATGTTCTGGAACAAACGCCCCCGATATTTCACGCATGCCCGCCGGAAAAAAAAAAACAACCAACAATTGCGATGCTATTTTACCGGATAATAATTCCCATTTCAGGAAAAAAGAAGAGCAATACAACGGAGAATAGAACAGACTTTGCTTATCTGAGAAGGGGATAAAGGCTCAGTAGAGTAGTGGGAGTTAGAGAAAGAATGAGATAAACCCTAGCTAGGAAGAGGAATCACTGTCTGTGCCTGCGGGGGTGATGGAGCGTTTTGGGATTTTAGGTTAGGGGTTTTAGTTTCAGGGGGATCCCCTGCGGTCGGATGCACGGTAAAGATTTCTTCTTGTTGGGGGCTTGGGCGAGGATATTATTGGATACTTGAATTTGGGCCCATTTTAGGGTCAGTTGGACAGGGAGTTGCGTGGAATCGAAACTCATAGGAAACTCAAATAATAATAATTGGGATACAATCTAGTCTAACACACCCCAATAATTACTTAACAGACTTTGAACTCTCTCCACTCTTTAAACGACTACTTCAAAATAAAAAGCTCCGGGAGTCATTGATTTTGAAAGACCTAAAGGTTGTGGGCCTTCCACAACCACCAGAGAAGATAGGTCTAGAGTTGAATCATATCATTATCTATGGCCTTAAAATATAAGGACCAGAGTTGCCACCGCCAATTTAAAAAGGAAGTTTCTTCAGCTAAAATTTCATTCTTGTTCACAGGAGCTAAGTCCCACATCCTTCTAGCTTTGCTGCAACCCCAAAAAAAGTGTTGTGTAGTCTCTTCAGCCTCCCCACAAGCTGCACAGACAGGGTCCACTCCTACACCTTTTTTGATAAGGTTGACCTTGATAGATAGGGCTCCAGAAAAACAATTCCAGATGAAGTGTTTTATATTTCCTTTAATTTTCTATTTCCAAGTTCTTGCTCTGGTATGTACATCAGTTTCATTGGAGTTGCTTCCTTTAGGCCTATTAAACCTCAACATTTTCTCCAAAGTCAGTCTAGCATAAACAGAAGACACGGAAAACTTACCATTTTCATTTTGTTTCCACACCCAACAATCTTCCTTATCTAGCTTTTGATTTTTCATCTGCAATATGGCCTCAGCGGTTTCTTTGTCAAATAAATTCTTCATGAGCTCACTATTCCAGTTCCTTCCATCATCCAATACCACCAACAATGCTCAATTGTTAATATAAAGAGATGAGTAAAACTGAGTCGAAACCAAAAAATCGAACAGTATCGATGTATTGGTGCGGTCTGGTTCGGTTTTCGGTGCGGTTAAAATGTTGAAAAACCGCACAAATTTTGGTGCGGTTCTTTTTTTTGTCGGATGGGTGTCGTTTTAACCGAACCGCACCAAATATATAATAAATAAATATGTTAACATGTTTGTATTGTACATATACATGCTCACTTTGGGCCTATGGTTTGGGATGACTAACATTAACAATAAATAAGTAAATAAATAAACAATAACAATAACAACTAAAAATTAAACATATTACATTAAAATCTAATTTGTTGCCCTAGTTTTTCACTTTGAGTTCAAATTTTGGGTCTTTAGTTCATTAGATGATGATGAGGATGTAGCTTCATTTTATTTTGAGTGCTTTTTGCTTTTTTTTTTTTTTTAAAAAAAA